TGCACTCTGTCAAAGATGTAGAAATCTTAACAGAGCTGTTGAATGCAAACAACATTGTCAAACTTAAGCTGATCCTGGCACACTCCACATTATAGGCTTCAAAGGCTCCTGGCACAACAAAAAAACTGTATAAATATGTTGGCACGGACAGCAAAGACAGATGTTGCCTCCACGTCCAGCCATAGGAATTTGTCTGCTAATTAAATAAACCTTTTCAACTTTGTTGATATGGTCACCTCGGGAGTTAGCTAGGGATGGTAATGTGTCTGTAAGCTAGAGTCTGGGGTTTTTTGCAACAGCTTTCAACAAGCAAGCAATAGTTTGCATAGTGAACGTTAAACCGATCAGTCGTTGCGATAGGTAAGTTGATTGTTCCAATTGGTGGTAACTCCTATAAAAAGCTGTAGAGGAGTGGGGTGAATTTACAGGTGCCTTTAAACAGCAGGAGTGGGAACAGAGCCAGCGTACTATGCTCTTTCTATCGAGAGATTCTTTTTACTGTTTGCAGGTGACATTGTGAGGAAACAAGATCAGGAAGCTTTTGCATGTCCTCATATTATCACAAAGCAGGTCGTATTTCTGTTCATTTCTGAAGAGCACGTTTGAAAGCATTTGTGATGTGTTGTTTCTTCTATGCTGTTATAAAGTCAAGTGCAGATTTTATGCCACACAGAGGAAACACAGCTCCCTAAAGCTGCGAGACTAGGAGAAGGAATAATCTTTACCTGCAGCGTCTTCTTGCGTTTTGGCCTTTTCTCAACAATTTCTGAGACTCGTGAGACTTAAAAAAACAAGCATCTTGCTGCCTTATGTTCCAAAGCTGTCTCCCCCTTCCCCTTTTCTCACCCAAAATATGTATTTGAGAGCTGATATTCCAAAACAGGGTGATCTTGTACTAAAATTGTGAGTCTACCTGGCCTTGGCTTATGATGTTTATGTCAGCACAACTGCGTGGTGAGGAAGCCAGAGCAATGTTAACCAAACATACATTCAATAAAAATGTCCAGTGGTGGAGAATCATCTGTTACACAGGTTAGGTTATTTTAAATGTTGAAAAGGTAATTTCTGGTTTCCTTATTCAAAAAACCTGTGCCCAAATAGTCCTTAATGAACAGACCCTTAAAGATTTGCATGAGAAAGAATCTTTGGGTTTAGCATATAGAGGTTGAGCTGCAGAGGTAAGCAGAGGGACTTTTATATTCTGTCTGAAGAAAGAAATGAGAATTTCTGTTTCTCAAAGTGGATCCTACTTCTCCATAAAAATCATTGACTCCATGGCATTGCTTAAAAATAAGTGTGTAACACATACTTATTATTTTCTACTGTATCATTCTAAATGTTGGTGTACTGTTTCAGTAGAAGTGTAATATTAATTAGACTTACAGTTTGCCTTGATTATATGAGCATAATTATGTAATTGGGGATATTTTTTTCCAGTTATGGGTTATTTTCCAAATGGATTCTTTTTTTACTGAGATCAGAAAAATTGATGAACAAGTACTTAAAAAATAATATTGATTCATATCCTGTTCTCATGACTTGTGTGAGGGTTGGATTTGACACATCGTCTTAAAACATTGTTTTCTGGTTTTGGTTACGATTGAAGGTGATGGCCAACTTCACTTCTGACAGAAGTATTGTAACTCCATAGAAGTTTCATTAAAGCTGTGAATGAAAGAGATAAGTTTAGTAAGTGGAATGTTTGCGTTTAGCAGGGCCTGTGGATGGTATTGCTCAGCCATTTTTCTTTGAAACTTATGCCAGTGTCTTCAGGCCCATATATACCATATTATTTTTCTCTTATCTCCTGAAAAAAAGAACACAGAACACATTTATAAAAATATATTTCAAATCTCTTTCTTGGTAGGCCAGTATTTAGTTCTTATTTCATCTTTTTTCTCTATGAAAACTTGAAGTCGCACCCTTCCTGTTTTGATTCTTCTATGACGTGTAAGTCATAGAAGCTAAGTAAATTTGGCACCTTTTTTTTGTTTGATTTTGGTTTAAGTTATAAACATGGTGTTCTAAGTGTGGATTGAGAACCATCTTAATTTCCTTTGAAAATAATCACATAAATGCCAGTTTATTTTCCACCAAATTGTCAAACTATTTGTTGTTCGTAACTCACTCTCTGAGTTTGACTGCAGTGTTTCCCAAAAAACACCATTAAAGAAACAGATATTTGCATAAAAAAAGGAAGAAAAAAAAATTAAAAATCACTGCTTTCAGACCTTCTTTTCATTTAATCTCTGATTTTTTTTAAATTTTTTTTTGTTTAAGCAATGCATAGAAAGCCAAGACACTACAGTCTGCTTGGCTGATCGCATTGAACAAATGGGTTTGTGCCTTTATTTTTTGGAAACAACCCATAGGAATTTTGCTAGCAAACGCACTGTTAGTAATCTTCTTCACTAAAATTCACCATTTAAATATTAGTAAGATCAAAACCACAAGTGTTTTCATATGATAGCCAGTGTCACATAGATGTTTTCTGTAATTCGAAAAACATGTTTTGAATTATTAAGCCTTAAGTAGAGACCAAATGCTTTTGTTTGTATGAAAAAATGTATGCTTTAATTTGGGGTATTATTTCTATTCACATGTTTTAATGAAACTTGCATGTGATCTGAAAGTTTGTGTGTAATACAAAAACCAGATGAGTTAGCTTCTTCTCTTTCATGTTAAAGATACAGGTTATGTAAACTCTTGATTGGGCAATTACTTTTTTCTCTTATATAAATTGTTTCAAAAAGATGCCTAAGATTTCAGCCATTGGTATTATCTGGCAGCTGAAATGTCATAAAATGGACCTCTTAAAAACTATCGTTACTAGCAGTTACTCTCCTGGCACATCACATAGTCATCTTTGTTGGTCATCTAAGGTTATCTGTGTTTTCTTATTGCTTCAATTTTTACAGAAAATCAATAAAAGAATTTGTTTGATAGTCTCCATAAACATCTATGACAGTAGTACAGCTTTAGCAGTGTGACTTAATTTTATTACACCAAGGAAAAACAAAAAATAACGCTTGCAACAAGTAGATGGAGTTACACTTTGTAAAACTAGTATACATGGATGGAGATTCAGCTACAACAGTTCCAGGCAGGTAATATTCAGATTTGTGTAACAACATTACACTTCCTTTTTCTTTTCCTTTTTTTTTTCTTTTTTTTTTTAAAAGACATCAGACAAGGCTTTTGTAGGCGATATTAGTCACATTTGCTTATTCTCTTAAAATTTCTTTGTTTTACGAAGTTTCCTTTAAACAGAATAAAAAAGGACAGTTTCTCTTCTAACAACTTAGCAGGAAAAAGACATTTTCAAGTAGAAGCTTGTAGGTGCTGTAAGTCATACTTGGCTAGTTACCATACAATGAATAGGAGCAAATTGTGCATTTCATGCAAAATGATTAAATATAATCATGTGCAATTAGATATTTGCTCTTCTAACCAATACTTCATAAGTTGCTTTTTTTTGTTTAGACAATATTTTTTTATCCCAAAATAAATACTCTATAGCTTCAAAACATGTTCTCAAGCAAAGATTATACATCTTGCAATTAAATTTTTCCATTACTCTTTAAAATTGAAATAAAATAAACCAAATTACAGTTCATACTGAAATATCCTTCAAAGTATTTACTTCCTTAAAATATATATTAATATTTTACAGTTTAGCAATTGCCACTATTGCTCATTTGCATAACTTGTAACCATAATAGTTCTCGTTATCATCTTAAAAACAGTAAAGGTCGTATTTGTAAAGTATTAGGTCAGGTGTATACTTTTTTTTTTTTTGGTATGTCTCTTTTAACTAAAAGGCTATGCAGCAAAGACCACACTTTAACTGGTAAAGATATACAGTCTTAGTATAGTTTATCTGCACCTCAAGATTGGCATAAGCAATATAGCAAAATAGTCTCTTGCTAAGATACATTGCATCTCCACTCAGAATGTTAAGTCACTGTAATTATAGAGACATGGCCTTTCTAGGGTAGGCGATAGATACGTGTAGTCAAATTTGTGCTTGCTATCTACAGCATGAGCTTTAATAGTAGTATCTCTAATTTACACTTCCTGAAGTGTTTGAAAAATTGATTGTTTCATTTGTTACGTTTTAGAAGAAAAAAAGTCTTTCACGAATTCTCTTTTCTGCCTATAATTGCCAGTGGGTTGTTCATTTTTTTCTGGCTACAAAAGGGGTACTTGGAAAATGGGGAGAACACAATCCTTCCGTATCTTACAAAGTATTTATAATCTTTCTTATAATTTTAGGGTCTAATGGTACCTAGAGTGAGAAGGACTTAAATGAGAGCGTGAGTCTCTACAAGACTCATCTTGTAACATTTGGCTTACCTAAAAGATTCAGGAGAAAGCAAAATGGTGCTGGAAACTCTTTCGGTATGGATTTAAAGGCACTAATGCAAAGACATGGATTCTTCTTGATGTCTCTTCTTCCTACCTGTCTACCTGCCTATATAAATGTGCAATAAGCTACATAACAGCTCCTTTCTCCCACAAACGACAAGTAGTACCTTGAGCTTGAACAGAGGAACCAAAATGAGCAAGAATAGTCTTTCATTACATGCTCTCTACATTATTTCCACTTGCTTTTATTCAATTCCTTCACCAACTTCTTTGAATAATCTTTGATAAAGGGGATAAGATTTGAGGAATCATCTTAATTTTCTAAGTTTTCTTCAAGGCATTTTTTGTATCTTTGGGCAAACCATGTGGTCCTCTCTTTCCTAGGCCTTTAAAAAATAATTTGTAGTACTTTTCCTAATTTGTATTGGTACTGCCATGGTATACCTTTGAAGTTGTGAAGGATAGATGATACAAAAAATCAGGATGTTTCAGAGAGACTAATTTTAATTCTAAGTGCTGACAAATTCATATGTTATCAGTTATACCTCTGAGTTATTTTCAGGTTAAGATGTAGGTGTTCATTCAGACACAATTTGTGGAAGACCATTTAAAAGTTTTAAATCATAAAATCTGGTATATAACAGTCAGTAAAAGCACCAAAAGCAACATTTAGAATATTTACATAACGATACCAAGACTTAACCTGTGCTAAGTTTTAGCAATAACTATTCAGAAACATTTATTCCGTTTTTAATACATTATATGGGTCAAACCATCTCTAAAAAATTATGTGGAAGTATGCTGTTTTGTCTAGAAGTATTTTATGCCAAACATAACTGAATACTTGAATTCTGAGTATAATACTGAGTAAGTATGATTTTGAGTGCAATCCAAACGCAAACTAGCTAAGAGAAAGGTGTAGAATTACTGCGCAAAACTTTTGGGTCTGATCATGATTTTTACTGATTTAAAGGCTTGCCTATATCCGCTGGGAATATCATTGGAAATACCGTGCCATGTACCCCAGAAAATGCCATTGCGAACACCTTTGTATTTCTTGTGGTAGTACTTGCCGTTGAGGTTGGCAGACAAGCACGCATCAAACCACCAGCCAGAGCTGTAGTACGCTCCACAGTTTCCTGAAGGATACCTATCGTTGTCCTTGTCTGGAGTAGTAAAGAACTTTTGATCGTGGTTGTAATGCTTGCTGTAATGAAGGGCATCTCCTGCTGTGCCACTATAGCCATGAACACTTAGACGATACTTTAGATATTCATTGGCCACGTAGAAGTGTTCGTATTTCGCATACTCTCTGATACCATTGAAATCTTCAAGTTCAATTCTCAATTGCATTTCCTGGCTTTTTGTCAGGAGGTGAATTTTGTCGTTCCCCAGCCAAAACTCCCTGCTGAGGTTTCCAAAGCCATGTTTGTAGTCGTTCCAGGTTCTGTTAAAGTTAGTGCTACCATCCTGACGCCGTTGCAGCACCGTCCAGCCGCCTCCCTGGGTTTGCATGTCACAGTAAACTTCAAAGCTATCATTTCTGGGGTCAGGGCTGATCCTGTAGATTCCGTTATGCCTTCTGCCTGCTGTGTAATGATCCGCACAGTCTCTCTGCATTATTTGTATAACTGGTGGAAGAACAGATAGTGTTAGAATAAACATAATTTCCATTTAAAAATAAACAAAATTTTAACCCAGACTGATGTGGCATACAGAATTTGGATTGGAGAGACTTCTACATAGGAAATGGTGTTACAGCAATTTCGGTTCTGGGGAGAAACAGGGTTTTTCCATCAGGTTTACTCTATAATAGATGCCACCTAGGATCTCTGCATCAGACAGCTGCCCCAAAAAAATAATTTAAATGACTTTTTGTATCAAAACTGCCTAATATAGGGGCATTTTGATTGTCTGCTTTCCCTTTTCTCTACTCTTCTCTTTATCCTTTCATTACCTCCTGTAAATTCAGCCCGATTTCTTCAGTCCATGTTTCTAATGCTTCGTGTTTATGTACTTGCTGCTTTTTATATTTAAATGTATACCCTCACACCCTGTCTATAATTTAAATCTTCATCTGGCAGTATGTCAGAGGAAAAGCGTTGTCCATATGGAATGACTTTAACCTGGCTATTGTTCAGTTGACATCATCTGATACAGAACATAACATCATTAGGAATGTTTCATATGTTAATGTTGGCTGTACTTTAGGAAGCAGGAAAAAAGTACTAAAATTGTCTCATCTATTGTAGTAATACTGTGATTCCTAGAAAGATGAAGCTAGAAAAGTGTCAGTGCTTTCCTATGTATGTGGCATTGCTGGCTTTACAGTAAGGAAAAGTTTTAGCAATTACCATTAACACAGCTTTTTCCCACTGATGGGTGATGTGTTTTATTCAGAATAAAAATACCCCCAGGTTTTTTCTGCAGAGTGAAAACCCATTTTTGATCCACAATATCATCTGGTAATGACATTTGATCCACAATGTCATCCAGTGATGGCATTGTGTTCAACAGCATGGCATTATAATTCCGTGTTCTGAAGTAAGTGATACGGAGCGCTCTCAGAAGTTCTGAGTTAAGAGTCAAAAGCAGAATGTTCATTCCTATCGCAGATTTGAATTTATGGGCCTGTTCATTTGCAGGCTTGAATTGCATTTTTTTCCTACAAAAACTTAAACAATTAAACTACTTCTTGAAAGGGAGGAGCGTTCTCAGGCTGCAGCAGGGAATAAGACTCAGGACTCCTTGTTTGCCAGTGCAGAAAACTGGACATCTGTGAAAGCATAAAGTATAGGAATCAAAGGCTTAAAAGCCAAATCTAAATCCACAATAGATTCTCATTTATTTCACTGAACTTTGTGTTAAATCTTTGGTGGACAAAGTTTCAGAGCAGATATTGGCAGAGAATATACATTTCAGATAAAATGCTTTTATAATCGAATTCAACTCCTATTTAAATGAAGTTTTGCTGTTACTTTCAGTGGAATCAGGAATAGCTCCTGTATAGCAAAAAAGTTGTAGCTGTTATCCTTGCTAGTTTTCATAATGTATATATTGCTGCTAGAAACACTTTTAGCATGAGTAACTATATAATATAAGGAATATCCACATGATCATATGCTATGAACAGTACCCAGCATTTCAGTAAGAAATGTGAGAAATACCTAAAATTAATTTAGTCTATTATGAAGCACTGTACTTGAATTTCATTCATTACCCATTATCAATATACCAAATATCACTCATTCTTTTTGTGGATGTTTTATATCTGAATTAAAGTAATTGATTTATACTGATTTGTATCTGATTTAAGCGGTTTGTTGATATAGTAAAAGCATTAACTTTATCATTATTCATTTGCTCTTTTCACACTTTCAAGAATTTCAGCTGTACATACACTGTACCATCTGCAGATCCTTCCATTTTCGATATGGGTAGACAGAAGACCATTTTATTTTAAACTTGAATGCTAAACAACAGAGGCTTAAAAACTGTAATGCAGCCTGATCTTTCTCTGCTTTCTCTCTAGAGACCCCTATCTTCCTATGTATATCTAAATGGGAGAATACACTGACAATCCAGTAAATATTTCTTGTTTTCGAAGATTCTTATATGTGATATAAAAACTTTATGACTTTAAAAAACCCTCAGTCTTCCCTTAATAACAGTCAACATTAGAAAGAAATTATTAGTTCTATTTCTTTATTTTAATTAGGACAATTAAAAAGTAAAAGAAAAAAGTGTTTGTCAGTGATAACACCTGTTTTCTGTTTTATATTGCTTATATTTTATATTCATGCTAAGGGTTTGGTATTAAAATGATGGTACATATGTTACCCACTTGAGAGGTACTGTTAATAAGCTTTTTTAGCTGAGCCTTTCAGATATTTGCTGTGATGACAGAAAAATTATTTTATTATCCATCTCTTAAAACCGAAACATTTAAATAGATTCATTTGATGTTTAATAATGTCTTGCAGACCTTTTCAGAATAGTTGCTGTTTCACATTGAAAAAAACCATAGTTTTCTAAGGCACACCTAGAGAAAATTTAACCCTTCTCATCCAAGGAGAAAATATATGTAGTTCACTGGTGTTTAATATCCTTAATGAAGGGTAGTATGGTGTAAAATAAAGTTAATTTTTCACGTTTACTAATTGAATTGCAAAAAAAAAGTCCTTTGAAGATTCATGTTTTAAATCTCATAATGAAGTCCAATTCTAGGAGGAACTGAACACCTGCAACTCTCAGTAACCCTCTAGTGGCAGATGAAATGTTTTACAGCAGTATAAACAAACACTAAAAGAGCAAATACTTAACTTGTGAAGTTAATAGCACAGCCGTTTGGGTAAAATATATTTTAAACTGTTTACCTAAGATTTGTAAAATGCACAGAAAGCTTATATAGAGGCAATAAGAATTAACAGGTTACATACCAGGGCTTGGTTGCATTGCTGGACATTTAGAAGAACATTTGTTATCAAGGCTGTTCACAACAAACGTCAAATTAGCAACTTTGCTGTCAATATAATGTTCTACATTGTTCATATTTATGAGGCTCATCTTCTCTAAACGACCCTGCAGTGTCTGAATCTGGCTCTTTGCATTTTTTAAGCTGGTTGACATTCTGTTAACTTTGCTTTGCAGTTCCTTTACTCTGTTATCTTGGATTTTGCTGTTTTCTCCTGGAGTTTCTGCATTAGGTAGCAGGAATTCATTACTACTGTCTCTTTCTTGGTTGTCATCTGCCTGCAGCTTGCAATCTTGGCAGCATTTCTTCAGCTTGTTTACTGCTTCTTTAAGGGTCTGTACTTCTTTGAGAGTCTTCTCAAGCAGTCTGAATTCTTTGGGTAACTGGATGGTCATCGGAGGCAGATTTATCTGATACGGGCAATCCTCTCCTTCATCACATTTCCGATTAGTTTTGAGCTTTATAGGACAAGTTTCAGTAACTTTTCCTTCTTTAGCATCCTCCTCAATGTCTAAAACAGCTGCAAAGACATTTGTTAAAGCAAGGAGAGCTGTCTTCAGCAAGACTAAGTAAACGAGCAGCTTCATCTTTGCAGAGAAACTAGCAGTATGAGGAAGTATGCAAGAGTGGAACAACTTTATAAGGGCAGCTTGAAGCCTGTGAGTTATCAGACTGCCTACACTGCTTTCAGAAATGGGTGGGAGTGCTTGCATCACGAGTGATTAATAGCAGAGCAAAGTAGGTAGTGCTTGCAAGAGCAGCATGTTTCAGTGAGTGTTCCTGACTCGGAACTAGTGTATGTAAGCAAAATGCTCAAATGCGTGTGTCCTGATCACTTATGCAGTTTAATTTCATTCCGTGTTGTACATGGATTTTCTTTTGGGGGAAAAAATCACTTAGTTCTGTGTTATAATAGTCTTCTAATATCTGTTTCTTAACATTTGAGTGTTCTAAAACTGCTTTTGAAAAACAGACTATAGTTTTACCACAGCAGGTGGAAAAGGTAAAAAACAGCCCCTTTCCCAGTTTGAGGTTTATCACAGCAATAGCTTCACTGACACTAAGTCCCCTTCTTCTGAAAACTTTTTTAAACTGAATAGGATGTATTCATGAAAATGATTTAAATCCCAAAGCATGTTGAAATACACATATAGTTCTGGTTCCAAACATTTTTCAGGACAGAGTCATAAACTAAGGCAGGCGGGCAGCACTTCCTTCTTCCTATTTTGCCTAACACTGCTTAGAATAGTTACCTGGAATACCACAGTTAAAATTCACCATTATCTGATTCGGAGTACTTTTTATTGAACCTTTCTAAGTGAAGGAAAGGGAACTTAAGATGCCCCTTCAATGCATGGGATCCTAACTGTTGGATTGGTTGTCCAGAAAAGCCAAAGCAAAGCCTGGTGTTCTGAGTAATGTCCCGAATTCTAAATCTAAAGCAAGGCAGGGAGCTAGGGAAGGCGCTCCCATGGGCCCGCCAGTTTGAGGTATTCTTTCTGTATTCCTGATTTTCGGTTCCTGCTTTGCTTTTTATTGTGCCTTGTGTCAGCTTTAAGAGTTAATCGTGTACTTCGCATGACTAATCACACCAAATGGAATACTTCAGCTCTAGGTGACAGGTGCTAAGGACTTCCTCATTTTTATTCTGCAGCCACCTTTGCCATTCTCACCTGATGCCTATGCAGTTTTCATGATCTATGCAATTTTCGTTGTGCCCCAAAGTAAGGCTACATGGACATGTCTTTGTGCATTCATAGCTCAGTCAAGAGCCAAATAACTTGCATGAGTAAAAGATTTTTTACATCAGTTATTGCTTAATTAGTCCAATCTGAACAGTTTATTTCCCTATGCCCTGTTTGAAATTACTCATAACATAGATTAAACATTAAACAGACCTTAGTCACACACATATTCTGTAAGTTCATGATCTCTGGAATGTTACTAGCTTTTATAGAGACCACAGGCTTATATTGATAGTACCAGAGGGAGGCTTGGTAAAAAACCCTACTTGTCTAACCTGCTGCAATAATTCCTTCGGATTCCTACATAGCACAATAGTCTGGGCACTTTCTTAGGAAATGGGTTTTGAATCTACCTTTCCTTTATTCTAAATGAACATCCCAGAACCTGCCATGGTGCTTTTAGTTATGTGACAAAACTGTGTATCTCTCCCTTTCAGATCATGATAGTTCCCCAGCAATGAGGTGAAAGACACCCCCCCACCCCCAGACTGCAGCTTGGGTGTAAGACATTGACATCGCTTTGTTTTTGTTAAAAATGCGTCAAAACTGAAATGTTTATAACCATAGATGAAATGTATGAATTTAATTTGTGAGTAAAATTTTAAATTTTTTTATTTGATTGATAGGATCCTGATTTTTTTTTTCTGTCAGTCTAAAATCAGGTATTTACAGAGCCTTGCTCTCCTGTATGGCTGCAACTGTCAAACTGAGGAAAGCTATACCAGGCTCTTTTGAGGGGCTTTAGAAATATAATAGAGTTCCTAAGTCCTTGTTATTTGGGAAACCACGTTCCCCCCACTGTTGTTTGTTCAGTTTACAATGAACTCTGCTATCTGCTGTGTGACTTTGGATTAGACAAATTATTCTGTATCTGTAAAATTCATAATAATTGTCCTTGGTAGACCACATCTTATGCATTTCCTTGAAATGTTTAAATGCATATAAAGTATTGTTATAATTTATGACTGTTGTGCTGCATTGAAAGCCTAAAATATCATTAGAACTGAGTGACTTCAAGAAGGGCAGAAATTTCTAGTAATGCTGAATGTCAACAAAAAATAGTTCCGATAGTAACGTGAGGTATCTGAGCTTTTCAGTCATCTTTGTCCTGAGACATTCATTCCTTGGTCCCTTCTATATCCTCATTTTGGGATATTTACTGCCTCCTTTGGATGAGATTTCTGTAATCTTGAGATGCTCTGCTGTCCTGATTTTGTTATTAGTCTGATGTTCTGCTGCTAGGCTACTAGCAGTCTGTTTGGAGCCCGAAAGACCCATTTCTCCATCAGATATCTCTGCACTTCTCCTACCTGGAGAAATCTTGTCATTGAGGACTAGTCTTTCTTCCTGTTCTGTCAGGGAATGTCCATTCCCAACAATTTGTCAGGTCTCTGTTCTTTCTTCAGGGACTCAAGAGTAGTATGCCACAGCCTTTTTTGTGTTTCATGTCTCTTATCTTCCTTGGGATAAATGAAGCAAACTTTCAAAACTGAGTTTTTCACAAGTCTGCGCCCTTAGAAGGGGCACTGTGCTGTATAAGCTTATACTGGAAGATGCTGATGCAGCTTAACTAATGGCAGAAATATTGGGCCAGATCAAAATTGAGAACTGCAGTTTGTTTATAAACAAAGTTTCTTCCAGATAGGGCTTTTCTAGATCCCTAGAGTGTTCTGTGTAATACTTAAAACTTTAAAGTGGTTAAGCAATCATAAAACACAAAAGCCAATCTTTTTCAACTCTGAAAGGATCTAACTGAATAACAGCTGATAACCACAAGTGAGAATTTTCTACCATGGTCTTTTGTTTGGTTAAAGGTAATTTTCTTATAGCTTTTCATCTCTTTTAGTCTTTTTAGGAATTTATTTTTCTTTCTGTGGACTGAAGAGGTATCTTAATCTTACAGACATATCTTCCTAAAGATAAAGAAAATAACTGAGAGCTCATGATATTCTTAAATTCTGCTGAAGATTTTAATTTTGTTCCCAGAACTACCCAGTGGTTGCAAGGTTAAAGAACTAATATATTTTGGTTTAACAGACTTGTCTTAGGACTGTTTATTTGGCTTATCAAAAGCAGCATGAACCATTTCCCATGATTTTTTAGAGGAAATTTTTTTTTCTGGCAGATAATGGAATGTAGGTCAAATAGAAAACAACAAAGTTAAGACTGTAGGCAGATGTTCATTTAACTAGTGACTATGGCAATTTAAAACACGCCAGCTTGCCATCTCTTTGATTTCTGGCCTTGTGCTGAGACTTAACATCTGCTGCAGCAGAGCTGCTGCAAAACATGCAGGTTTGTGTAAGCAGTTGGAATGATTGGTATGAACAAACCTGAAGCACATCTAGGCTCATTCATAGAAACCATTTTGGTGGCAGAGGTGGGATGTGTTAAGATTCAACTGCTGCAGTAACATTTTTGATGTTTTTCTAGGCTTCAGTGATTCTGTGTTCTGTTTTGGCTGAGAAAGAGGATGAAAAGTAACTAGATTAATCTTCAGTTTTTCCCACAACGTGGAATATATACCAAAAGTCCATACTAGAAACAAATTCTGATTTAGGATTCTTTTTGATTAATTCAATTGTTTTATTTTTTAATTCAGTAGTCATTCTTCATGCAAACAGTCTTTATGGTGCCCACTGGATCTTGGGACTGCCTGTTTAGCTTCCTCATGTGTCTATGAGAACGCATCAGAGCACAAAACGGAAGGCAGTCCTATTCCATTTGATTTTAATTGTTAATATTCTTACTGAGATACAGGTTACATAGAACTAGTAGCCACGTGGATTCCCTATCTGTTGAAATTGGTCTTTGCTTTATTTAAAAATTCTGGCAACAGGCGGAAAGGCAACACTGACATAGAGCATATAAGTAGTAGATAACATATTTAAATAAGCAATTGTAAATGTAATACGTATTACAAAATTCACGTGGTCAAAGAATATCACTCCTTCTGTTAAGGCAAGGACCATATTTGTAAAAACTAAGTTCCTATTCATTCTGTTTCTCCCACAATATCTGAAGATGTGCCTGCCCAAAATCTAGAATTTACTGCTCAATATTTCCTTTATCTATAGCCACAGAAGACCCTGTAGTTGGCCAAGTACCTGGAGAAAATAAACCAGGATGCACTCTGAAAGAACCATGACATACTAAATACAAAAGCCTCTCCCTGCTGTGTCTTTTTGGGAAAATTCCTTTTTGATTCCTGCAAACCCTGCTCCAATAAAACCAGCTGGTGAAGGACTGCACTGGATACTCAGTATCCTCCTTTCGAGTTTCATGGCCACACAGGTGATAGCAGGAAAGCTATCTCCTTTCCTGAAATGCCTATCTTACTGGTCTCTCATCCCTGCTTTTACTGAGCCATGCAAGACACAATTGGCCACCAGATGCAGTTGTACCTTGACACAGCTGGCCACCAGATCTTGCCCGTTGTCCCATCTTGATGGTGGCTGTTTTTGATATTTTCCATGTAGGGACTGCTTTTTCCCATGAACTGGGGGACAAAACTACTGTTACGAACTATGCCTTGGGAAAGAATTCATTATGTTATTTTTCCTAGTGGTTATTTGTTAGTTTTAGAAAGCTTTTCAGCAGTTTATTTTTGATTAAAGGGTGCCTGGCTGATCCATCTGTAATTAAAAATGTAAAATTGTAGAAGTTCTGTGTAAGGCAATATAGTTCTAGATCTACTCTAAGTAGGTATAGTAATGTTTTTCATGTCTACCTTTACTTTACCCCCACTCTCAGTTTTGTCTTGTTTATGTAGCATCATCTGCATATAGCTTTTTTATGTGAAATACTTTGTAGTAAACGATGAGCCTTTCAGTGGTATATCAGTATAAAAGGCTCCATA